TGCCTTCCATGTCATGGGTTCGCTGTACCTTAGTTCCCATTACATCATCCTCCCAATCCCCATTTGTTGGTGTTTTTTGGGACCCAGGGTATCAGTCATCTGATCAGATCACTGTGTGACTTTCTCAAGGACCTTTACTTGAGTCTTGAACCTCTGGTGCAGAATGTCCACATACCAGCTTTATGGTGGCTTGTGTCATTCTCCATCCCCTGGTTAAGAAAAAGTCTATTTTATGAGCCCTCTTTCCAACCCCAGTGATGAGGACTGGTTTGGGCAAGATGATGCTGCTGGACCACTGGATCCAGCTGGACCGCTGGACCTCGGAGCCCCTGGAGCCTCCCAAGGCCAAGCCCACCAGCCACACACACCTTTGTGAGAATTAAGAAAATATGTCCCCTCCTCCTGGGGCCCACATCTCCTTCACATGGGCACCCAGCCTGGTGAACAGGGTGCATGCTGGAATGCAGCCCTATCTTGCTTTTGGACCATTGAGCTACTAAGTTGGAGCAACCAGGCTTGGGAATCTTTCTTTAATCATAGGTAGGAAAGGCAAAAAAACATACAAAATAGCATCGTCATGAGTTTCTACTATATTTGTTCGGGCTTTGAAAAATATACTGCCAAAATATATCAATGTGTGGTGCCAATGTTTTAGGAAGTTGCATTTAACAAATCTTGGATACCTGTTTTGTACATATTATAGATAGCATCCCGTGTGAATATGTTAATTCCTTTTTATGAGTTTCAGTCTTTTTCCCCCTCCTGTACATGATTGCTGTTTTATAGTTCCAGTTTAGTGGAATTAACATAGATTTCCCACATGGGGAAGGTTTTGGGTGAGGATTTAGAGCAAGGCAGGTTCTTGATCCTCGGAAGACATTGTTATCTGAGGGGGGATTTGAGAATGGCATTGCAGAGTGGGAGGCGCTGCTATGTGGAAAAATGAACTGGAATAATTATTAGAACAGTTCTCAGAATTTACAGGATATTTGATCATAGGAGTAACTTTACTGAGGAGCGGTGGATGGAATGCCTGTACTTGGAATATTTTAAAATTAATCTATTTTCTTTAGACTGAAAGTGTGACACACAGAGAACACTAAAATTGGATGAGGCACTATCTGGAATCATACAAAGAATGACAAAGATGAGGTTATCCATTTTGTTTCTAGGCAAGTTAGTTAGCCTCTCTGTGTTTCTATTTCTTTGTTTATAAAAGAGGGACAAAAATAGGACCCATTACTATCCAGGTGATGAGATCATTCATACCCCAAATCTCAGCATAATGCAATATACTCATGTCACAAATCTGCATAGGTACCCCCTGAATCTGAAATAAAAGTTGAAATTATTAAAAAAGAAAACCAAGGCCAGGTACGGTGGCTCATGCCTTACATCCCAGCACTTTTTGGGATGCTGAAGCAGGTGGATCCACCTGAGGTCAGGAGTTCGAGACGAGTCTGGCCAACATGGCAAAACCCCGTCTTTATTAAAAATTCAAAAATTAGTCAACCTTGTTGGCACGTGCCTGAAGGCCCAGCACTTGGGAGGCTGAGGCAGGAGAATCACTTGAATCCAGTAGGCGGAAGGTTGCAGTGAGCTGAGATCGCACCACTGCACTTCCAGCCTAGGTGACCAGAGTGAAACTCTGTCAAAAAAAAAAAAAAAAAAGAAAAGAAAGCAAAAACAAATGGATCCATTATCCCTGGGTTGTTGAGGAAATATGGGAATGTATGTGGCACACATTACAGTGCCTGGCATACAATAAGCACTTTGTCATGTTACTGGTGTCTTCTTACCATTGTTGTCTTAGTGGTGACCATTTGAAATGCTGAAGCTTTATTATTACAGATAATGGTGGATATAGTCTCTTCCTTGTTTATTTTTTGACAGTATGTTTTTAAAAAAACTTTATTAGGTGAGAATTTACTTGTTACAGGTCTAGTGCTGTTTTGAATTATGTAACCTACATTAAATATAAAGCTATGACTTGAATTTTGTGGTTAAAAATTTTCTTAGTTGATTGACAAGGACGGCATGTTAGCCAGCTTTTGCTGCAGTAACAAGCAGCCCCAGACTCTCAAGGGCTCACAAAAACAAAAGTATGTTTGTTTGCTCATAACACATGTGACTGAGGTTTGGCTGTGGCTCTACAGTCTCAGATGGGCTTTCTTGGGCTCAGCTTCTCACAGCTTCTCCTCGAAGGGTCCAGGCTGTAGGAGATGTCATCAGGGCCTGCAGAGGGCAAAACCTCACAGAGGCTTCTGTTCATACATTGTGGTACCTCATGTGTGTGTGTCATATTGTCATATATCAATGGCAGTAGCCAAGACCAACAGCAGTGGGGCAGGAAAGTGTATTCTGCCCACAGGAAAGCGAGGCAAAGGCAGGGAGGGAATAATTGTGAACAAAGAATTCACTTGACAAAGATAATTTTGTTGATGTGGTTACCACTTGCCTTTCAGTAAAATAGCGCTTCACAAGTTTGTTTAACATTTTATTTCAAGCTCCCAGAAACAGCTAACGCCACAAAACGTACATGTTGAAAATTTCAAAAGGGAAAAAAGAAAAGAAAGGTACATCTGAGTCAGGAAAACATTAACCAGTCTTATTTCTGAGAATCAAAGCAGTGGTCCTTCCAGCGACCAGTCACCCCATTAACCACCCATTAATGGCACAAGTAGGAAGTGCCAGCTCAGAGTCCCCGAAAGAGGTATCCAGATTTATGGCTCATCCCAGACTTCTCTGATCGAGGCTGTTTTCCCTCTAGATGCCTTAGTCAATCAGTAATTAATTTGAAATCCAAAGTTTCATTAAGTGTTATTGAGTTCTTGCATGCTGACATTTGTAGTGCTATATTTCTTTAAAATCACAAACCATTTTTCATGCTGTCGTTTGCATATTTTAACGGAAAAGATTGCGGTTCTGGTATAAATGACCCAGTTTTCTGGATATATTTACTTGAATGTCATAAACTTATTATCCTTCTCTTCCACTTCATTGCTTTTCTGCCTTTCTGAAGTATTTTGAAATCATATTTAAAACATCATTATAGCCTCTGAATTCTATCTAAAGTATAAATAAATTTTACTGGGTGACTGTTTTCAAAACAATACCAAGAAGCTGGTCTTATTTAGATCTGGTCTTATATCATTGAAATATCATTAGAATTCTTATGGAAAATATGTTTTGGCTGTTTAGAGGATGCTAGGGGCTGGAAGTGAGAAGGTAGCAACACCATATGGATATGTGAATATAGATGCTTACATGAAGAAGGGCAGACTTAGCCAAAACTAATTTGGGATTTTTGTTTGAATTGTTGGAGGGTAGATGAATGAGAGTACAGATATATCCTTTTGAAATTTAATTTAATTTTTTAAAACAATATATGTCTCTTTGGAGTCAGGGAGTTTGTTACAGTGATTTTTTGTAGACAGGTTTATTGGAAGTGCTTAGTAGGTGATAGGTTTTCCTTTCTTTCTTTTAATTCAAAAATAAGATTGGCTGGGCTTGGTGTCTCACACCTGTAATCTCTGCACTTTGGGAGACCGAGGCGGGTGGATCGCCTGAGGTCAGGAGTTCGAGACCAGCCTGGCCAACATGGTGGAACCTTGTTTCTATTAAAAATACAAAAATTAGCTGGGCGTGGTGGCGGGCACCTGTAATCCCAGCTACTTGGGATGCTGAGGTGGGAGAATTGCTTGAACCTGGGAGGCAGAGGTTGCAGTGAGCTGAGATCGTGCTACTGCACTCTAGGCTAGGTGACAGAGTGAGACTCTGTCTCAAAAAAAAAAAAAACAAAAAAACAAAAGATTGATCTCAATAATCAGCTGGGACTGAATATCAGCTGCTTCTTCCTGGGCCAGGTGATCACCCCCAACCCCAAACGCCCACTCTTAACTCTTCTACTCCTTTGGGTGTTGTCCCTGCCTGGTTTAACCATCAACCCTCTAACTCCCAATCCTTTTAAACCTCCTCTACTCTTTTTATTCTTAGCACTTAGAACCCACTAACGCTCTATTTAACTTACGTATTCCATTTCTTGTTTCTAGACTGTCTCCCTCCAGTAGAATGTGTGTTCTGCTATAGAGCAGCGCCGTGTGACGCAATAGCAGGTCCTTTATAAACATCTGTTGAAGGAGAAAAAGAAGGCACATGTGGCCTGGCTGACATCTGAGTTTGCAACTTCTTTTATGCCTTCTGCTAACTGGGATCCCAGTGGGCTTCTCTGCTGTGCCCTCTGAGGTTCCCCAGACCTGCCAAACTGTTCCATCCCCAGTTCCTTGGTGCCTAATGGTACTTCTGCCTGGAAAACCCAACCCTTCCACTTTTTCAGACCCCAGTCTCTCATCTGGGAGGGTCTACTTGAGCACTATGACCTATGTGAAGATTTTCCCAGTACCTGCAGACCGACTGGAACCTGCTCCTTCATTAAACCTGACAGGTGCGTCCACCTGGCAGTTCTACCCTAAGAACATGAACTTCTTCAGGGAGGGAGATGGGACTTTTCATCCCTGGGAGCCAGCTCCTGGCTCACCTCCTACTGGTTAGTGGGTGATGATTGAATGACTTCCGGAAGAAATCACGTGTCTTAACTACTGTTGGTCCTGACACCATGGCCACCTTCCAGAAATTTCCACATTTGAAATTGCAGATTCAGGCTGGGCACATTAGTGGGTGCTAAGTGCTAAGAATAAAAAGAGTGGCTCACGCCTGTAATCTCAGCACTTTGGGAGGCTAAGGTGGGCAGATCACCCCAGGTCAGGAGTTTAAGACCAGCCTGACCAACATGACGAAACCCTGTCTCTACTAAAAATACAAAAATTAGCCGGACATGGTGGCGGGCACCTGTAATCCCAGCGACTTGGGAGGCTGAGGCAGGAGAATTGCTTGAACTTGGGAGACAGAGGTTGCAGTGAGCCGAGATCGCACTACTGCACTCCGGCCTGGGCGACAGAGCAAGACTCTGTCTCAAAAAAAAAAAAAAAAAAAAAAAAAAAAAAAGATCTAACATGTGGAACATGAGAGAAATGAAAAAGATTGAATTCCGTTCCAAATGGGGTTTTGAATTTATTTTCGCACTTCCTATTTTTTTGAGCCCAAGAATGCAAGATGTAAGCTAAGAAAAGATAAGTGAAAGTATTGCTCTAACATTCTGGATTCCTTCTATTAGAGAAGAATGCAAATCTTTGCCTTATCTCAGTGATGGGCCCCACTTAACCCTTTGTCTTACTGAGAGCACTTTTCTGCAGATGATCAAGTGGAATTTACTGTGATGGCGTGTCAAATCTTGAAATAATCTACCTTTCAAGAAAAAAGAGTTTAACCAGATGATTGTACCTTTTAGCCATATCTACAATTAATTTGAATGTATTGTAAGCTGTTTAAAATATTCCATTAAGGAAGAAGGTAAGCCTAGCTTATGGTAAATACACTACTAAGTGTTTATAGTACATTTCATATTTTACATGATTTCCTTTATAATTCTGCTTATCTTTTCATTCTAATTCCCTGAAGGACATATAAAAGAACCCCTAAAGAGAGTAATTACTGCTGTACTCTTTAACCAAGGCTCCTTTTGCAAAGAGAAATCTGAGCTGCTTTTTAAAGAAGGCCATTTTTAAATAAAAATGCAAATAAGCTACTTTGTAACCACATTAATTACCCACCTAGCCTCTTATTACCATGTTTGTATTGTTTGCAAATACTATTTACAGTCGTGTGGAAATTAACATTACTGGTCCTGAGGAAAGATTGTGTTGGGGAGGTTGTGCTTTGGAACCAATTAGGGCGAACCTTGTCTCCACTGAGACTCTGGGGAAAAGCACAGCCTTGCAATGTCAAATAATAGCATTAGCTCTGACTGCACAGGCAGAGTGCTGTAATTATATTATTGGCCCTATTTTGCTTCTGCAATGAATTTCACTGCCTGCATTGTAAAATCAGCAGGTAGCAAAGTTTCTGCTAATGATTTAATGTACTCTCTGATCATTTTGGACAAAAGTCATGGTAAGATCCACAAGGCAATTTTATCACCCCCACTGACTACAGCCTGGTTTGAGGATTTTAAGTGAAGACAAAATGTGATTCTCATCTTCTTGTTTCCTAGTGAATTCCTTCCCGCACAGAAGAGAAAAGTACTCGTCTAATATATAATTTCAGGCATAAGGAGAAGGTGATATTGCATTGCAAATAATAGCAGTTAGTGGGAGCTGAGAGCCAACTCTGCACCAGACTCGTATCAGCCACTTGACTTCCATTATTCCTTATTCCTTGGTACGTCTGCGCCACCTGTGATATCAGATCCTTTTTACTGCAAGGAAACTGAGGCTGGGCGATGCTAAGAAACTCAGCCAGGGTCAATCGGCTGTCAAGTGGCATTGCCAGGATCCAGATGGAGGACCATCTGACTCCAAAGCCACCTGACTCTTTCCCATATACCACAGTTTCTAATACGATATTACACCCAGCTTTAATATGAGCACACCTCGTGGATGATGCTATCTATAAATTAATTACCTCCCCACCGCGCCACATCAAGTATAATGGATGTAATATGATTTTTCAGAATTCAGCTAAGTACCCACTGAGCTTTACATTTTGTAACTTTTTAGACTGTACATCAAAATGTCTTTTGGATTAAAACTTTTTTTTCATATGTTTTGAGGTCAGTTTGAATCTGAGCTTAATAAACGTTACCATGAAACTTTTCTCCCATCCTTTTAGGAACTACCTGTGAGTAAACTCATTTTGTGACAGAAGGCTATGTGTTTTTCCAGCGTTCATCCCAAGGAGAGAAGGGGAGAAGGGAAATAACACTTCACATCTCTATTGCATGCCAAACGTTTACAGACATTATTTGATTTAATCCTTTAATAACCCTGTGAAAAGGATGTCACTGTCTTCACTTGACAAATGAGGAAGATGGCAGTGCAATCAAGACATATTGACAAGGCGAGGAGGTGAGCGACTTGCCCGAGGCCACGCTGCTGAGTCCTTGGCAGAAGCAGAATTTGAAAACAGAGCCCCCATATGTTTTAACTGCTCACTGGAAACTGACAAGGTCACTTACTCCTCACCCTTCCCTGTACTGGTAGTTTTTCTTTTATTTTCTTTAATTTCTTCCAGTTCCTTTCCTTTTTACAGCAAATTTGTAGTTATGGTGGAGAAAAGGGCAGTTTTCATTCCTCTTCCCTACAACTGTAGTTTAACTAAAAAGTGGCCGCTGTATCCTGGTAGCAGTGGGTAAGCCATCCAGTCCCTGCAGGCGTCTGTGCTCCAGGTGTCCAGTCTGAGGCTGCCTCCTCGCTCCTGGGGCAGGTGCCTCTGGGGGTCTCTGCCAGGCTTGTCTGGTCATGCAGCTACTTCCAGACTGATTCCCAGATCTTGCATTTTTATGGAGGACATCCCCAGCATTCAGAGAAGATCCTGGGAGCTGGATTCCTACCAGAGGAATTAGAATGAAACCAGCAAAAACAAAAACAACACCGTTCCCGCTCCCCCGCACCCAATACACGTGCAGGGTAATATTTGATAGCAGTAGGGAAAAAATCCAGTGTTATAGGAGACAAACCACAGCAAGCTATGGCCTCTCACCCTTCCCTTCGCAACCTCCGCTCTGTCCACTCATTTGTTCCTTCCATAAATAATGACAGAGAATGAGCCATATGCCAGTGTTTCTCTGGATGCTGGCTGCAGGGATGAACAAAGGCAACCTCTAGGAGAAATTTCTGTTTATGATGCTCTCGTGTCTGCTTCCTATGTCTTAAGATTGTGCTTAAACTGCCACTTCTTCAGCTGTTGATTTCAGGCACTATCTAATGACTTTTGCTGTTGTGGACAGGGATTTAACTCATTTTTACCATCTTCCATAGTTGTATCTCCTTCCTCCCATTATGTTTGTAACTTCAGATTTTGTATATTTTGTATATGTCAATATCTTCTATATATATATATATATGCACACACACACATGCATACATATATGTAATGGTATATATACATGTTTGTTTCCAGTTTTGCTCAAACTGCTCTGGACGGTTCTTTGCTCCGGGATTTCTTTACTTCCTCTCTCGTCAGAAGAGGTTGTTGGTGCCCTGATCAATCCCTCTACCTCTTCTTTTCTCCTTTCACCTGTGACTTCTGCTACTTATACTTCTGCTTTATCACAGTCCGTAACATTCACCTTCCATTCTGTAGCCATAATTAAATCTCCCATGCATCGCACTTTGAGAGGCCGAGGTGGGTGGATCACGAGATCAGGAGATCGAGACCATCCTGGCTAACACGGCGAAACCCTGTTTCTACTAAAAATACAAAAAATTAGCTGGGCGTGGTGGTACATGCCTGTAATCCAAGCTACTTGGGAGGCTGAGGCAGGAGAATCACTTGAACTCAGGAGGCGGAGGTTGCAGTGAGCCGAGGTTGCGCCGCTACACTCCAGCCTGGGTGACAGAGCAAGACTCCATCTTAAAAAAAAAAAAAAAAAAAAATCCCATGCATTATCTATGGATTGATTGCAAAAGATGAGAAGCAATAGAGATGTCCATTACTATGGCCATCTAGAAATTTCTCACCCAAGGGCCAACTAATCTTTCCCTGTGTTGTATTTCCTGCTCTGCGGGTCCGGCATCATGACCTTTGTACTACCCAGGAAAGCCAGTGTTCTCATGGGCTCTTCTCTTTTTTATGCTCTGCCAAATGCTAGCACTGTGGCATGCCATTAGCTCACTAGCAGCTTAAAGGGTACAGATTCTGAATCTCCTTAGTGCGTCTCACCTGTTATTTCTGAGCCTGAGTAGATGATCTTCTTTTATTCAGATGTCTGTGTCACATATACCTGATATCCTACCCGCTTCCCATAAAAAAATCACGCTTGTGAATGTCTGTCTTAGGCTGAGTTCCTGACTCCAAGATCCCTCTTCTCTCTTGTCCGAATCCAGCAGCTGATGGCATTTATGTCTGTAGATTTCACTGTCAATGAGTCATTGACAGACTAAGCAGGCTGTTGGATGGAGCGATCAATGGCATGAGGGAAAACACTAATGTATGCAAGAAGAGCCATTTCCTAGTAGGAAAAAGATTTATGTGTGGAGCCGCAAAGGTAGTGGCTTCAGTAGAAATCACCAAGGACCTGGTAGTCAATGCGCAACCTAATTTTCTTTCGAAAGCTGTGGAAATGGCAAGGGAGGAAATAAATAATGCATTTCTTTATATCTCCTCTTTTAAGTTACTGAGTGTCGCCAAGAGATTTCTAAGGCCAGACATCGAGTCAGCTGTAAAACCGGAAGGAGCAATGTTTGCTGACTGTCACCTTGGCCACTGACCCTGATCCCCTCCGCACATAGTAGGCATCTTAAAAATTCCTCTCCAGACTTCTGATTTTCATGTGACTCGCTGCTAAGTTGTCTGGGTTTGTTTTAATTCCTCTCCCCTTGCTGACAGTTCTTTTAGCGGGTGTCTATAAAGGTTGGGGCATTTGCTCTGACAACAATAGGAAAAGAAAGGAGGAAGGAATAAAAAAGAGAGAAAAGGAATAAAAACAAAGGTTTGGTTTAGATGTCTGATTTCTCTGAGCCTCAGTTTCCCAGCATGTAAAATGTTGTGAGGGCTCACACTGGTATTGTCCAGGTGCTTAGCAGAGCATCCATTACACCAGAAAGTGTCACAAAAATTTTTAATATCATCAATAATACTGTGCTCTCCCTTGATTTTTTTTTCTTTTTTTTTTTGAATCAGTTAATCCGCATTCTGGGAGATCTGACTTCCTTGTTTAAGGCCCTGGCGGAAGTTTTGTTATCTGTGGAGATGGATTAATTTTAGAGTGTGGTGGCCTTTGCCCAAGGTGAACCTGTTTAAAGAAAGTGTCACCAAGTTCTGTCTTGAGCCCGTCCACTTGGTTGTATGTGCTGGACCCTGGGTGTTCACGATGGGCTGTGCTGGAGGGGAAAAGAGGCATCACTCCCAAATTCCATTCTTGCAATTAAAAATTCCTTTCATTTTTATTTGTGAGAGGGTATGGGAGCACAGTGGACGGCAAACAGAAGAGAAGCTTTTGATTGAAAGGTAAACATTTACTTCTGCCTTTTAAATAGACACAGCTAGTCTCTTTACTCTCATGGAAGCAGTTATAAGGAACATAGACATGAAAAGAATATGAACATTTCTGGTCTTTAACTATGCCCATATTAATCCACCCTGGATAGAGGGGACTGTACTATTTGGAAACATCAAAATAAAATATTTTTGTCATAAGATGTTAAAATGTACTCATTAACGTGGCAGCATATTCCTTTTCTTCTGTGATCATTGAAGTAGGGAAGGAATTTCAACTAAGAACCAAAATGATTGTCTGTTAAGACACTTATTTTTTGAGAAGACAAATTAATATAACATTACTATGTGGGGAGTGTAGAAAGGCTAAGGTTGTAAGGAAAACTTATTAAGCTTATGCGAATATTGAAAGCATGAGAAGGCATGACCAGAACGTATTAATGATTTGGGCTTGATTATTCTGAGACTGTATTCTAAGTCTAAAATGTTGATAACTAAGACCTCAAATGATAAATGTTTGGCAAAGCCAAATAAATGAGTAGCAGATTGAAAAAAAAGGCAAGAGAGAAGTAGGTATTAATAGTTTTCCAAAACAATGTAGTCTCTTCTAGAAGAGAGTCCTGCCCCAGCCATGCCTACCAGGTTGTGTTTGTGGGATTATTTCTAAGTCACCCTTAAGCTCATCTTTATCCCTCTCCCGGACCCCCAGTTCCCCCACTGGGCGTTCCTTGGATTATTTATTTATTTATTTATTTAATTTTTGAGACAGTCTCACTCTGTCACCAAGGCTGGAATGCAGTGGTGTGATCTCGGTTCACTGCAGCCTCTGCCTCCCAGGTTCAAGTGATTCTCTTGCCTCAGCCTTCTGAGTAGCTGGGTTACAGGCACGTGCCACCATGCCTGGCTAATTTTTTTTGTATTTTTAGTAGAGACAGGAGTTTGCCATGTTGCCCAGGCTGGTCACGAACTCCTGAACTCAGGCAGTCCGCCCGCCTTGGCCTCCCAAAGTGCTAGGATTACAGATGTGAGCCACCACACCCAGCCTTCATTTTATTTTTGATTTTTCCTCTTTAAACTCTACTTGTGACCACCTGTTTCCTTTCCCAAGCTTTTACTAACCTCTTCTATCCTGGTCTTGCAATCTGGCTGAAAACCTGCTAAATAAGGGAACAATTCTGACATGGCCTCTGGGCTCCCCACAAACCTAGGTGATTCCAGACCAGTAATGTCTTGAGGACACTGTTGTCCCATCTTCCTTTCTAGGCTGGGCACAGATTACTGACATGGAAGAGTCGTTGGTCCTGGTCCAACATGCCATGACCATGAGGCCTCTGGTAGAAAGGAAGGAATGAAGGGTGGTTCTCCAAACCCTTGGCCCATGCCTCATCCTTTTATTCCCTTCCATTTCCAGGTGTGTAGCTGGTCAGGTTTTTAAATTCAGTGGATCTGGCTTTATGCATTTTAAGCCTTAGGTTGTTGGAACACAGTTAAGTTAGTCATCTTTTCAAGAACTGAATCTCAAAAAAGCCATCTAGACCTCGGTTGTAACCATCACATTCATTGACTTGATTGTTGATCTGTTTGTCAAATCAGTTTTCTGTTTGG